GGGGGGGGGGGGGTTCCGTATCATAGGGCATGTGACCTAAAACAAACCAGAAAGGGCCGGAACGGCTTGAAAGTGACATGCTAGGCGCGAACCAAGAGGTCGGAGCCGACATCTCAATGTCTCGAGCACGGTCCATGCAAAGATAATGGCGAGCAGATATTCACGATTCTCAGGCACACGTGCTGCCCCAGATATAAGCTGCGAATTGCATGGAGGGACTCCCCAGCTAAGTGACACCTGCTTTAGGAAAACGTGCCACGCTCAAGGACATGCGCGGGGCTGGGCCGCCTACACACACCTTTCCGCCCTAGCTGCATCCCGTGCAGCCGCCGCCTTTATCTCGCGGAACACCCCGTAGTCCGGGAGGTTCCGCAGGTCGTCCCCGTAATTTGCGGGATGAACGGCCTGTTGGAACACTCAATGTCAGTCACTACAGTTTTCACCCAAGGAGTATTACCGGAATAGTCTTCGGTATGTTGATTCAGTGACGTACACACCCACGGGTTATACATTGAACCGGTACACCGGACCATTGTCCTATAGGATATTCAAGTAACGTTGATATGGGTCGAATTGATCGTCTATTACCGTGGTCGGTACGTTGCAACAGCCCGTGTGTGTTTGGTTTCCGTTATGACGATGCATGGCTCAACCCAATGATGCCCGCCTCCACTCGCTCACTCCTATTCCTTCTACTTCTACTTCTTCCCCTTTCTCTCTTCTCACCTTTCGGCCAACTAAGCTGTTTTGGTCTACAACACAAGTGTACCTCACAGTCACTCTGTGAGCGTCTGCATGCTGTTACTTACTACACAGTGGCCATTGCCAGGGATACACCTATCACAAAGGTTACATACCAACACGGCCTGCCGGGGAAATGGCAATTATTAGGTCTGCAAATACGTCGGTGTAGGTGGTGAGGTGTTTCGCACATCGGAATCACGGTGCGGACGGGGTGTCGATAGCACATGAGGTCCGGTTTTGGGGCGATACAGGAAATCGCAACAAAACGCATCTGAGAAAACAGAAGAACTCGGGCCTATGGTTCGCCTGAAGATCGGTCCCGCAAGTGGCTACCGGCGTAGGTTGCATAAGACACCACATCCCCCGGACCCATTGTCAAAGCATGACCACATCTGCGACGAAAAGGGTATTTCGAGGCGCGATGCATTTGCCGATCAACAAGACCAGCGTCAACGACAAAGACACGGACACACAGAAGTGACGAAAATGGAAACCCGTGCGAGCATCTAGCAACCGGGAGGACACAGGCGTGAATGCGATACACACCTTCACCACCGACGTGCCAACGTGCTCTCCAGTCGTGCCCTCCATGACCAGCAGCAGCCAGACCGTCGGCACGTAGTCCCACAGCATGAACACAGAGAAGTTCAGCAGGCAAATGTCTTCGGACCCCTGGGGTTCCGAGCGCACGCGACGGCTTGAGCAACATAGTCCCGTGGATTCCCCAAAAACGATTGGACCCATGTACAGGTCCTTAGGGCTCTATGCGCACGAAAGAGAACGCTTGATGCTTTGCAGCGGTTTGCTCGTATGGGACTGTACAACTCGTGGTGTGATACCGGGGTTTTCGACACACAAGACCACGTGTGTGTTGCCATCCCATCTATTCTGCATGTCAGGTGTTTCAACCTTACGCATTGGCTGGAATTGCACGGGAGAAAGGCCACACATGCAAAGGCCAAGCATGCTGCGCCCTTGGAGGTTACGTGTGTTAGTCGCTTGGCCTCACCTTGAGCGGTATGTCCGGAAGACACCACAGCCCCTTGACTGAGGATATCTGGTAAGCTCCCTATCGATAGCGGAAAGCAGCAGAGGAAGGCGGAACGGCACCCAAGGCAGCAATCGTAGCACCAGCCGCATCAGCAATAATAACGACGATGAGGATGACGGCGACGACGACAATGAAGACAAAAATAGCAACCGGAGAATTGAGACACAATCAAACAGACTTCGGTTGACCTGGAGGGGCGGGGGGGGGGGGTACTCATAGTCGTGCATGCCGTAGTCGTTAGACCATTGACCTCGCATCCCTACAAAGCCGGGACGGAGCACGCCGGGTTCTCACCGGACCAGGCTCTCACATCACCAAGCGCGAAGCGCCGTGAGATATTCGGCGAGTCGCATGAAGGGTGCGCTGCATCCTGCCATTATGAGGGTTTTCGGCATCTTGTGCTTACTTCCTTGCGTACGGGTGACAGCTGCGTATGACTTTTACTTTCTGGTGCTTTCACTTCCAGAGACAGTTGTAAGCACTGTGTAACTGCCTCGAGGGTGCTTGACCATTTTAACACAACGTGGTGCGATCATCCCCCTTGCGCGGATACCTGGAGGTATGCAACAAAATGTACTCGCTCAATATTCCCGATCTGATGAGCCTAACTGTGACCGATCGCAGTCAAACATCCCCGTAAAAAATGTAGGCTTTGCATCGTGCGCATGCAGCAAACCTTCCATATGTAACTTATCACATGGGTGAGGTTGTATTTGTGTTACCTTCGAGAGGAAGACCGCAACAAGAAAGCAGTTGAGAGCCGTCAGTGCTCGGGGATGGTAGATCAGCTGTGCCCTATTCTGCGATGCCGTCAGCCTCGACATCTGCACCGACCCAGTCGATTGTGGTGAAAGCGCACGGGTTTCGATGTGAGACGAGGGTGCGAGGAGTGCAGCGTTATTCTTCCGCGGCAACAGACATCATTTGCGTGACATCGCCGTGTGAGAGTTGAGAAGCTACCGCAATATATTTAGGCAAAACATGTGGCCGGCGGTCCAGAGAGAGGATGCAACAGCAAAGCACAATTCAAGCGAACAGCGAGCGCGACACGGGAGCGAAAGCCATGAAGAAGGACTTGTCCTGCAACACCAACGACGCGATGCGAACATCCCGCGACAACTGTAACACATCGCGGCAATTCGACACCACAACGTCACAAAACACCTCAACACCGGTGCAATTTCCACCTTTGCAACAACAGTGACAGCTAAAACGCCCACGACATGTTCTAAGTAACGCGACAAGAAGTGGCACCAATGGCACCAACATCACCACGATTGCCCCCGCCACCATCCACCACACAAGCACAAGTCACAGCTCGATTTTGCCATATCCGTAGCCTTTGAGGCGTTGGGGGTCTCCGAAAAGGACGCGACACGACCTTGAACCCGTAGCTTGCGACTCCTGCGGCTAAGGCGAAGAAGCAAAAACCCGTCAGCACCCGAAATGCGTCGCTGGTGGTATCCATGCTGTAGCACGTCTGCGGGGCGTCTTTGGAATCCTGGTCCGCCGTCACGCACTGTACGTGTCCATGCGTCAAAGACATCAAAGAGACGTGTTATGGCGTAAAACAAGAAAAACTCTCACTGCGAAAGTGTACTACGGCAGTTGTTTGTGACACTCTTTGCAAACCATGCATAGCTGTACATCCATGCAAGGCTGAAACTCGAATCACGGGGGAACAAAAGCAGGTTGGCGGAACATCAGCACAGAGTACAACGTAAATCGAAACGTTCGTTGAACCAGGAGTATCCTGCGCTCCTGGCGCACAATATGGTCCAGTGACACACCAAGGTTGGACTACAGCGCAATGAGGACGAAAACGGCCCGACCAAAAAGCGCCTGCTGCGGAAAAAAAATATCGTCCTTCGATCTTTCCGTCAAACCCTTAACATGTCGAACCTGAAACTGACGACTCTCCCGCACGACCTGCACCAGGGCATACCCCACCATGTAGACGAGCATGCCCGACACGAGCGTCACGTAGACGCGGCCGACAAAGCGGCTCTTAGCCTTCCAGTCCTTCTCCGAGGACAGCACCTGCCAACAGGCGGCAGCAGGATACAACGTGTTGCTACCTTGAGAGAGATAGCTTTCTGTTCGCTGTGCTGGTATTTTCCGGCGACTCGTGATGCAGCGTATCGCGTTCCGTGAGACATAGCCATCTTTCGGGTGCATGTGAAAGGGCAAGGGGGGTGTTACAAAACGTTGGGTGTTGTAGGTGTCGTAGAACGGGCGTTCGTTCCTGTACTCCCCGCCAGTACACGGGGTTGCAGGTACAACGTTCCTGCGAGAATACCGACACGAAACACGACGGGGTTTTCCTTAGTCACCCATCGCTCGGCAACATCATTACTCGACGGGGTGTGTGGCGTACGACCTTGATGCCCCAATACTCGTGTAACAATCCCATCTTATGTTCTTATCTACGCGAAGAAAGCAGTAGTGTAGCCCCCCCCGTGAAACTGCCTGTCATCGCACAACGTCTAGACCAACCCTCAAAGCTCGGTTGCTCCGCAACCAAGACGCCCCTGATGCCGCAATAGGGTACCTACGTACCTAAGGTTATACATGATACCATCATCCCGTGGATCGAGTTTAAAAGCTCCATCACTCCATAACGAAGAGGATGCCAACATCAAACGGTAACGTTCTCAATCACCTCTCGACGAGACGATTCAAACGGCGACATTTTCGGCACCATCGCCGCTTTTTCTGCCGAGTAATCGAGCTTTAACAAGCGGTCGACGGGGTGTAACATGGTGTGCACCCTACGGTAAATATGCCATCGAGATAATGTTTTGGGGGCATCGGTCGACTTTCTCAGAGTCTGTTGGTTGCGAGGCTACCTAAATGCCATGTTAGTTCCGATAGTCGGGCGACACTGCTGTGGATGATGGGCAAGCATGAGGCGAAAATCTTCCCCAGGTGTCCAACCTCGGTTCTCACCATCATATCATCTCGGAATGCCTTCCACGATCTCGTCTCCCCACTTTAGTCTTGGGGCGACTGTTGCTGTTTTCAACGTCTTCCAAATTCAACCACCACAACAACAATCCCACTCCACCACGTAAAAGAAAAACGAATCTCTGCGGTGGCGGGCCTTTTCATAGCCAAAATGGGTTCAGAGCGCGCTCATACCTCAACAGCCTACAGAATCAACAAGCTCATCCCACCGCGAGTCTTTGTCACATGACCATGTTTGGGAAGCAAAAACAAGCCCCCCCGGCAAAGCTCGGGTCCCAACCATTTCAAAGCCACAGGCAGCAACAGTTACGACAAAGCTGTGCCGAAACAGACAAGCTCGCACCTTGCTGTAGGCCATCGGCAGCAGCAAGAAGCAGCCGAACTGAAGTGGGTTCGGGAGCCAGTAGAGCAGGCCAAACATGGCCGACTCCCATTCCTCGTGGGTCGTGATGGCCAACACCCAGAACATTCCGCGAAGAGTCTGGAGAAGAGAGGGTTTCGGGTTGCGCGATGGCGAGCATGACGGTAAGGGCACAGGGTCGGGGCACAGAATCGAATCTCGGAGGGAACATAGCAGTGTACAAGGGTCTTGCTTGTGCCCACTTCTGGACACAACTGCGAGCAGCGGTGTTGTGCGGTATTAGTGGCACTGCGCGTGTGAAAAAAACCGTTCAAGTTGATCCAGTCGTGGTTCAACACATCATACTACCCGTGCGGTGTGCTAAAGACCGATGTACACAAGGAAGCACAACGAAAACAAACCCAGTGCACTACAGAATGTATGACGAACAGAATGTGAAAACGCTGTTGATGCGGTTCAAACAAAGGTAGTTCCGATTTTCAGCATTGCATCTATTCCACACGCACGGCGGGCCAGAACTCGAGAAGCAGCAGCAGCAGCAGCAGTAGCAAAAGGGCAGAGATAGGCGCTCTAGGAGCAGATGAAACACTGACCAAAGCTGCAGCAACAGCGACGTCGGTACCAACAAGAGCAGCATGCAGCAGCAGGAGTTTCGAAAAACTCAACGCGTGAAGATCGAAAATACATCAAATGCTTCTACGGATTGCTCTTTGCTCGTTGGCCAACGAAACAATTCTTCATGCGTTTGCGTTCTCCACGTTTGTTGGGACGGAAATGGGATGATGACGCAGCTAATACTTGGAAGTGCGGGCAGGCACAGGGGGCAGCAGGATAACTCACCAGCCAGACCATGGCCAAGAGGTGGAAGGCCGTCGCCCATATTCGCGATTCGTGTTGCTTGGCCTTGCAGTTCGACATCAGCAGGGTCACAACCTTCCGAAAACCAAGGAAAAAAGGATCGCCAGCGGATGGTCGAAAAGGCGGAGGGCACGACGCTCAGCAGGCGCACATGAAGCACCAAAACATAAATCAATGCTCGAACATATCGACAATCTGGAGACAACAGGCAAAAGCGAGGGTCGGCCTGGAGGAGCGCGCACCTGCCCTTAACGGCGCAACTGAGCTCGCCAGACCTCAGCCCAGGTCACCCCCCACTCCCCACCCCATCAAAGAATCCGCACTAAGAATGTTGTGCTTCTCATGCTATCGTACCTCCACAAAAACCACACAAAATGTTCTTGTGCTTCAGCCCGTGATTCTTGTAAATGGTTACGACACTGCCAGTGGTGCAGCACCCTTTTGAAGGTTAAACATTTCGAGTGTACGCTGCATGCAAGCCATCAGTATCGCCTTACCAGAAATAGCACTGACACATCGACTCCAGCGAGCAGGACCTTCAAGAAAGGGACCCCCATCCCCCCCCCCC